ACATGATCATGCACTAAGTTGATCTCCTCTAATGTAACCATTGCCATAGGGGGTTGGAAATTTCATCAACAACATATGTGTGGATACCATGGCCTTCAGATCATTGATGCATGTGCGTCCGAAGATAACATTGTATGCCATTGGGCAATCCACCGCCAGGAAGTTAGTGGTAATGGTAGTTGTGTAAGGGTCTGTACCAATGGTGAAAGATAAGTGTATGCTCCCTAAAGGTTGCACGATATCACCGGAGAAGCTTATCAGATGAGAAATTGAGCGATCGAGCAAGTGTTCTGCTTCATTAAGTGTCTTGAAAGCTTCAGCAAACATGATATTGACCGAAGCCCCTGTGTCTACCAGGATTCGTTGTACTTCAAAGTTGGCTATGTAAGCTTCTACGATTAGTGGGTCGTTGTGCAGGCAGATTATACCTCTTTCTTCCTCAGGGTAGAAACATCTTGGATCCCAGTTAGGCTTTTGATACTTGCCTCCCCTGATGTCTTCTACATGAAACACTTGGTGGCCAGGCCTTAAAGCTCGTTCGCTATTTTTCATAGCCCTGTTGAAAGATTTAGGTATGGGTGTGCCGCCACTTATGGAATATATCACATTCACCTGGCGTTGGTTACAGTTACCCTTTGGAGGGTGAAGGAGGAATTGATCAATTTTTCCTTCACATGCCAAAGCTTCAATATAATCACGAAGGGTGATACACTTTTCACCATCATGACCGTTATGCCCGTGGTAGCAGCAAAACATTCCATTGTTCTTCGTGGGCTTGTAATTTGGGTGCCTCGGCTTTGGCTTTGGTATTAGGTGTGCTATGCTGGGGTAAATGGCCACACATGTGGCATTTAAAGGTGTGTATGCCTCATACCTCGAGGTAGGGCTTGTCCTGACACGTGCTTGACTCACTGTGTTGACTACTTGGGATCGGGGATTATCGTGGCGATACCCTTGGTTATCGCCGCAGTGTCCCTTACTCCTTTTACTAAAATGAGACTGTTGAGGATGGAAATCTTTCCTTTTGCCCTGAGATTGATATGTTTGTTAACTTGGCAAAGTATTAAGTAAGGCAGGGGAAACACGGCTGCTGTTTGGAAGGTTGAGTTTTTCTCATTTGGGTGGGTCTGACTTCCACTCCCTACTTGCTGATAGGGGATGGTTGTTGGGGGTTTCTCTTGGTATGTCCTTGCCTCGGCGGAGGCATGGTTATAAGTATGCGCCATCACCTCAGAGTAAGTCTTCCAAGTGTTGGTATTGATCATGTACTTAAAGAAACAGTCGCGTAGGCCTGCCGTGAAGGCTTTGAGGGCAGTCTTGTCGTCTGCCTCAGCACAACGAGAATACTCATGGTTGAAGCGACCAGCATACATACATAATGACTCGTCTAGTTTCTGGCGAATAATGTACAAGTCATCTGTAAAGTGTAAGCGATCGATCTGGAAAATGTGTTGAGAAACAAATAGTTTCCTCAATTCCTCAAATGAGTCTATCGTCTCAGGTGGAAGACGGAAATACCAGTTTAAAGCTCCGCTAGAGAGGGTGGAGGGGAAGAGAAGACATCGCTCTTCGTCGGTGTGCATCCGGTATGCCATGGTGGACTCAAAGAGATTAAGGTGTTCAATCGAGTCCTCATTTCCAATATAGAGTTGCAAGCCAAGCTTTTGCTTTGTCTTTGTTTAGAATGAGGTGTCGAGGATCCTCCTTGTAAAAGGCCCAGGCCTAGGTTGGTTCCAATCAGGTATCTCAGCTTATCACTCGGACTTCAACTTGTTTACTTCCTTAAGGAGTTGTAGGACAAAAGGGTCCTGAGTAAAGTCATGTACCACTGGAGCTTTCTTTCGTAAATTTCCATCTCCTCTTGGAAGTAGGAAGGTTTAATCAAGAGCATGTGATTTTTCCTGGACTCGTCGTGCTGACTTCCATGGTATGTCTGTCGCAATATCTCTGAGTCCTCTATACCTTCATGTTTCTCTAGGACTTGTTGCCCTTTCCCCAAATTGGTAGCCGACCTGGGATATGAGAGGGGACCGAGTTTTTCAGAGACCCTTAGGTCATTGATCTTCGAGCTTACATGGATGGGATTGTCTTGACATTGCTTTAGGAAGTCTCGACAGTCGCGAAAAACGGCTTTCGATCCTTCTACTCCTTTTATAAGGAGGTGCATTCCTCCACTCCTCCTGCTTCGGGTCGAAGCAGCTGGGTTGAGAGAAGTTTCATGTTGGTCACCATTTCGATGAGTAGCTCGTTCCTCAACAGGAATACCCATGTCGAGGGCAAATGACCCTCCGTGTTGGGGGGCACCCAGTTGACGGTTGACTTCCACAGGGGTGATGGGCTCGTGTGTTTTAGTATATCTAGCCTCGTGAAGCATCTCGAAGACCTTCTCATACTGCTCTTGGAGGATCTCATTCTTCATCGCTATCTTGTTGTTCTAAGCCTCCAGGTCATCGACTTTAGCCTGAACAGCAAACTTTTTTTGTTCCTTTTTTTGTTGCTTCGCACCAGGTGCAAGGGGGGTGTCATTCTGTGTGATGTGGCTTCCTTCGCTCCCCATGTTGGAGAGGGATGCCTAGTCAAAAGAAAGTGTACGAATGGTGGAAACCAGCTTGACAAAGCTGAAGAGAGTGGGAATAAATGTCGTTCCCATAGACGGTGCCAAATGTTAATGCACAAAATCAGTGAAGACTTTGGTACAACAGAAAGTGTTAAGTTTATAACCTTCGCTATATTGCTCCGGTCACTAGTGTGGATAAATGTGCAAATGGATAGAGACAGGGAAGCAAACACAAGATGTACGTGGTTCACCCAGATTGGCTACGTCCATGGAGCAGAGGAGTTCTCATTAATTGTGAGGGGTTTACATAAGTACATAGGTTCAAGCTCTCCTTTAGTGAGTACTAGTGAATGATTTAGTACAAATGACATTAGGAAATATTGTGGGAGAATGATCTCTTTTTATAGAAAAGAGTTTCTAGCTTTGTTCTGACATTGACATGTGTCGTGTTGTGATTGGCTTATGATATTGACACGTGTCGCGCTATGATTGACTTTTGATGTCGACACCTGTCGCACTGTAATTGGCCTCCTGGTTGGAGGGAAACTCTTATGGGTCCTTGACGGTATAACGTTGACCGGTGCTCAGTAGTTTCGGGATTGGTCAAGTATGGTACAAACAGCTTATACTTTAGAAAAATGTCTAGTTTGACAACTTTGGTAAAGTATGGTTGGAGGTAGGCTGACTCAATGTACACAATTGCAAAATGAAAGGATTACTTGTTTCAAGTAACATTACATTTGTGGAACTTCAGAAGAAAGTACATGCTGTTGTCCATTGCAGCTTACTCATTCCATGTATACGATGGATCTCATATTAGAGTTATGAATGTAGAGAAAAATAATTGCACATGCAGGCAATTTGGTCTTGACCAATTACCTTGCTCACATGCTCGTGCTGCATGTAAACACGTACAAATTTCATGTTATCTTATGTGTTCCCAATATTATAATACAAACTCCTTGGTCATTGCGTATGCAAAAGCTATATGGCCAGTTGGTGATCAGGCCGCTTGGGTAGTAACTGATAGGATATGATAGGTGCAAAGAAGATATGGTAGGCGCAAAGAAAAAAGGATATGATCATCAAGTGGAGAAGAAAAATCAACTCGAAAGTGTTCAAAATGTGGTTCAAATGGCCATTATAAGCAAACTTGTAAGAATTATGTTCATCCTACTTGTAGAACTTTTTTAAATTTAAGAGTTTAATGAATAAAATTTTCTTTCTATCATTTTATTGTTTATTTTAGTTGTAAAATCCTTTAAATTTGAGACAAGTAAAAGTTAATTCATTTTTATTTGTCCACTCTGGTAGTTCACTTGCTACTATATGAATATAGTATATTACCCTTGTAATGTTTTCTGGTATGTTGCCCTTCTAACACATTAAATTTCTTTATGTTAATTCCTAACAAGATAAGAACAAAAGATCTGATAAGTAGGATATTAATATCCCATTATTTGATTATTTATTAAAAAATTAAATTAAGAAAAAACTATGGTCTTCATTTGACAAAGAAAATAAAAAAGGAGAAAAATATTAGCAAAAGCAACACTTGATTATAGCACAAGAATCTTTTAATTAACAACTAATTATATTGTATGAATTGATGATTTTTTTTATGAAGAAGAAATTTATTAAAGTTTAAAACCTCTAACACAACCATTTCCAATACAATCAAAATTAAAAGGCTCCATAGCCGAAATCGTAAGACAATAATCCCAAAAATATGGGTTGGCAACAATGAGGCCCATATGAGCTAATGCATCTACCAAGAAATTTGCCTCCAACTGATATGCTGAAACCCAAAAGTCAACCATTTAATATCCTCTATGATAGGTTTAAGATGCCAAAGGGGCATCCAAACATCTTGCACCGCCTCGATGACAAGCTTAGAATCTTCTTCCATCATCAGCTTCTTCACACATTTGAGCTTGGCGAACAAAAGCCTTTCCTTTAAAGCAACAACCTTTGCAACCAAAATGGTGGCGCCATCAAGGTTCAACGCCCCATCACCAATAAGTTGCCCCTCTTCATTTCTAAGAACAAAAGCAGCTGCAGAACGACTCGAATTAATAGACCCATCAAAGTTTAATTTCACATAACAATGAGGAGAAGGATGCCAGCAAATGGGGTATTGGTGGTAAGCATCACCCCTAGAGATCTTCTTACAATTAACCTTAGAAAAGGATAAGCCTACACTTGCGGCAATGAGATACCCCCAGTCAGACTAGGATTCATATTTCTAAAAACTTTAAGTAGGTTTTAAATATATTTGTATGAATTAAGGATGTTTGTGTCTATTTAAGTAGATTTTAATTATATTTGAAAGTCGTTATAAAAAATAATATTTTTAAAATTAAAAGTTAATTTTTTGCTATTATTGATTAATTCTCGTAAAAAAATTACATAGTATGGTTACAAAGTGCAAACCTAAAGTGTAAGGAACCAAGTCCAACTCCAAGTTAGCAGACGCTTCCACTACTTTTCACAATGTCATCGACTCCAACTGCCGAACCCTCCGTAACTCAACTACTAAACTCACCGTCCACTCTCAACGGTCACGATTCAACCGATCTACCCCAACCGCCCCAGGACCCCGCAACCCAACCGCCAGACGACGCCGTTTCCGGCGACAAACGCAAGCGAGAGGAAAACGACGACGTCCCCAACCCTTCCGCCGCGCCCCCTCTATGGAAGACCAGCCTCTGCTCCTTCTTCAGGCGCGAGGCCAAAACCTGTGGCCACGGAAGCGAGTGCCGCTACGCGCACGGCGAGGCGGAACTCCGTCCCCGACCCGACAACACGTGGGACCCGACATCCGAGCGCGCCAAGAAGCAGAAGTTGGAGGAGGAGATTGAGGAGTGCATGGCTTTGGACAATGTGATGATGACGGAGGCCGTCGATGACGACGGAGACGGCGGCAGCGATGCTGGGGGTTTGGATCCTGAGCTGAGCAAGTGCCTGGTGCATCTGCCGAGGAATTGGAAATCCGAGAAATTGAAAGAATTTCTCAGTGAGAAGGCAAGTGTTTTTCTTACTGATTTTTAGTTTTCGAGGTTCGAATTTCGATGTTTGGGATTGTGAATTTTTGGTCATGGATTGCAGGGAATCGAATTTAAGTCGGCGAAGAAGAAGAAAGGCATGGCTTTAGGGTTTGTGAGTTTTGAGAACGCAGAGCAGTTACAAACTGCTGTGAAGGTATCCCCTGACTTGCACAAAACATAATTTGAAACTTTATTATGTGTAAATTGACATGATCACTGTCACTTGAAAATCTCTGTGCGGCAGGAACTGGAAGGAATATCAACAAAGTTATGAAGGTTGCGGACGTCATTCCCAGATCATTTGAGAAGAGAACTAAATCGATATTGGCACCTCGAATCCCAGGTGTTGGATTAGATGGGGAGAATGTGGATGACTCTATGATGGCAAACGGTTCTGAGGATGGTGATGGGACTACTGGACGAAGTGCCCGTAAAGTCGTGACTCCTCTTGCTCATATGTCTTATGATGATCAATTGGAGCATAAAAAGAGCTCTCTTATGCAGATTCTCAAAAGACTTGTCAGTGGTGCTTGTTTATAATATTTCTTTTAATATCATAATTTTTGGTATTATTATTAGCATCTATATATTGGGAGCAGCCTCTCCATAAATGGGGTAAGGCTAGCCGACATTCACCTCTCCCAGACCCTGCGTAAAGCGGGAGCCTTGTGCACTGGGTACAACCTTTTTTATTATTAGCATCTATATAGTTATTCACATGCACAGAAAAACGAGTTAGTTACTGTTGCAACTGTTATTTTACAGACGAGGAACACTCATAAAGCTTGTCCTGATGGTATTCCACTTCCAGAGTGGATTGTCAAGTCTAGGGAGTTAGGTAATCTTCATACATTACCTGTGAGCTTAATGAAACACTTTTGATTGTTTATTTTAATGTTTTCGAGATGATAGTGGGTCAAAGCGCTTGAGTGCTCCAATTTTCGCCATTGTACTTGCAACAAAGTATGACTAGGGGTTCACCCTTGCATTTTGATGATGTTAGGTGGTCTTCCATGCAGTTTAGACGGTATACTAGCATCCCCAGTTGTAAAAGGATATCGCAACAAGTGTGAGTTTTCAGTTGGGTATTCTCTACAGGGAAAAGTAACTGTGGGGTTTATGCTTGGAAACTTTAGGTAATTCACCTTCAATAGACTTTTCTGCTTTTTTGGGTTCTTCGAATAGATTTTTCACTAAATTAAATATTTCCAGGGATGGTGTTACAGCAGTTGAAGAACCTTTTGACTGCCCAAATGTTTCCAGAATTTGTTCCGAATACGCTTCAATATTTCAAGAATTTCTGCAACATTCGAGTTTACCGATTTGGAACAGATTTAAGAATATTGGATTCTGGCGTCAATTGACGGTAGGTGTTGTAAACTTGAGGGTCTGCTTGAAAAAATATTTTGTCTTACAAGTATCGCGGTCTTTCCAAGTACCCGATGCTCAATATACTGTTGATATGCACCTGATAAGTAATATTGTTTTCCCAATCACTGAATATGCTGTCTCGTGATTTTTCTTCTAAGGTTCGAGAAGGGAGGAGGCCAGGCATTGCTACTGATTCTGAACATTGTGAGGCCAATATTGTGGAGGTCATGCTGATTGTTCAGGTTAGTGTGTGTGAACCTGCATCAGGATTTACAAGTGTCTTTTCTTTATTTCCCCCTATAAGCCTTCTTTTATAGTTAGGGAAATTGAACAGTAGACTATAATATTCAGTCTGAGTTTGTTAAAAAAATTCTGAAAGAATCTTGTGAAACCATGTAACCGTAATTTTATGTTTTCACCCTCTCTGTAAATAGGTTTCCAGTAGTGGATTTGATGATGCACAGATAACTAGTGAATACGAGAGGTGGGCCCAAGCTTTTGCTGCAGGAGCTGCTGCTAGCTCTCCAGCTTTGCCACTAACGTTTTTAGTTATTCAGGTACTAAATCCTTATTTTTGGATAACCAGGTACTAAATTCTTGTAATCTAGGTTTGTTATATCCTTATCCCAGCTGAAGGTAGTAAGAATGTCACAGCTGAATTCGACTCAATGATGTCTTAGTCTCATGACAAACCGCTTTCAAGAGAATATGTTGCTCCCCTTAATTTATGATAGAGCAACATTGTCTTTTCAGTTTTTAATGTGTTGTGCTCACTGTTCGGTATGATGGTTTACTTTTTTGTCAGGATCACCAAGGAATATCAAATGCAGCGCCAGCTGATGCTCCACTGCACTCATTATCTATTCCTAAAGCAGAAGGTGGTTCCGAAAAGCAGGCCGCCGACAGTGTTGTAGAACCAAAAATTCATGACTATATAAACAATCTTAAGTTCTGTATATCTCCAACCGCCTTTTTCCAGGTTGGTCATCAGCTTGCTTATTGATCAGCTCACCTGAAAAGATTTTTTCTTGCAATAGTAATTATTCCTGAATCCAACTATACTGCAGGTTAATACCCCTGCTGCAGAGAAGCTATACTCGCTTGCAGGGGATTGGGCTCAGTTGGGTCCTGATACCTTGCTATTTGACGTATGTTGTGGGACTGGAACAATTGGGCTGACTTTAGCACACCGTGTTGGTATGGTAATATTCAAAATCCTGATTCTCATTTCTTGTCTTTTTTCCCTTCTGGAGTGGTTACATGCTTTTCATTTTGTACTAATTAAATCCCTCATTAAAGATTTAAGACTTTCATCCTTGGAGAGAATCGTATAAAGTTGAAAAACGTATGTCTTGCAGCCTATTGTATTGATGCAAAAGTCCTTGTCGTTCATCATGGAACACAGAAAGGAAACAGAAACCACTTTTATGCAAAACAGTAGAAACCATATGATATTCCAAATTTTTTTCGTAAATAATCTGATCAGTCCATGCCCTTCTTTTAGAGTTGGTAAATGCAAGAAAAATTATGACTTGTCAGAATGTGAGCTTCCATTTCATCTTCATATGAAAACAAAACTTGTTATTTCTTTATTTTTCCCCTGTTGACTAAGACTGTTCTCCCTACAAATATTTTTCAGGTTGTTGGCATTGAAATGAATGCATCTGCGGTTTCAGATGCTCGTAGGAATGCTGAAATTAATGACATAAAGAACTGTAGATGTGTCTGTGCGAAGGTGAGAATTTGGGTTGTGATTTATATTAATTTTTCCAATGCGCCTTTGGATCTTTTGAAAAATACTATACACCCTTGGAAGAAATTGGAGATAATAAATCCTTATCTCCAATCAATTCATTAATTTTTTTTGAAGACTTCGTAGTTTCTTTGAGTCCAGCAGTTGAAGGTAATAAAGTTTTTTTTACTATTTATTTGTATTGTTGTCATCCATGAAACGACAGGCAGAGGATGTGATGCGGTCTTTGTTGGAAGAGTACACAACTGCATCTCAGAAACAAGATGATCTCGTCTCTGAAGGTAGTGACAAAGTTATAGTTACTGAGGACGAGAAAGCAATCTCAATGGACAACAAACCCAACCCTGAGGAGAGTTCAAGCCATGAGCTTGAAAATGGAAACACTGCATCTGAGGGTTTAGAAATCGACAAGCAGGAAGTGAGAAGCCAACCTCAGAGCAGTTGCACTTCTGAAAAGGGGAAAACTCCAGTCGAATGTTTCAGTAATGTTGTTGCTATTGTTGATCCTCCAAGAAACGGACTTCACCCCACTGTGAGTAACGCTCGGTGCATTCCGTATGATATCTCTAAAAATTTGCACCCTTTTTGACACTGTTTTCTCAACCAGCATGTGAATGCGATTGGAAAATTCAGTTTGGCCCTACGCAAGCCTGGAAAACCTTGACTTATTAAAGAGTGAGGTTTGTTTGGGCAGCTTGCCCACTTGAAATTTTGATGAGAATATCGAAAACTGAAAAATATATGGAGGTAGCAAATTTGTCTATTGAACCATGTTGAAGTGAATGAGTGATTAATTTTGGAGACCCTTCCACTGGTAGCCTTCAAGCTGTTTCTTGTTCTTATCAAATACACTTATCTTTTTATGAGTGCGTCAAAAACTCCTATCCATTAACTGGTAATACTGCAGTTGTGGGTTTTATTCCTAGGACTTGAAAAATAGGCTCACTTCTGAAAATGTTTTGAGTAAACGTCCTTCCATGGGTCTATATAGTCTTTGAACTTCTTTTAAAATCTAGTAAACTGTTTGTACAAAAATTTTGTTCTTTTTTGCTTATGTTTTCCGCTCAACAATGTCTATATGTCTAGTGGCTTTTGTTGTATGTTAAGAGACAGGATATTTCCTGAGACTGTTGAGCCTGATGATTGGTCTGCGATATGTAGGTGATCAAAGCACTGAGGACTCATGCTGATCTACGGAAGCTTGTGTTAGTCCACATACTTTCCCCTGTGTTTTTGCTTTCATTTATTTCAATACCAGAATCTAACTTTTTTCTCCTATTTGGTTTAGGTACATTTCCTGCAATCCTGAAACCTTGGTGGCAAATGCGATCGAGCTTTGCACACCATCTCCTGAGAAAATAGACAAGAACAAGAACAGAGCATGGAGAAACATGGGTAGTGCTGGCCTAGCACGGCACAGGGCCAAGTCTATGCCTGCTTCAGAGCCTTTCCGACCGGTAAAAGCAATGGCTGTTGACATTTTCCCACATACCGTACACTGTGAATTAGTAATGCTCCTTGAGAGGTAGGCAGGCTCCAGTCAGTCTGGGAAATTTCGTTATGTGCATGCAGCTGATCACACCAATCTGAATGCTTCAACAAATAATTTATTTCGTTTACTAACAAATTTTGACAGTAAATTCTACAGAGTTTACAATTAGCATCTCTACCAGTTTTGTAGGATCGATGTATTTGAATTCTCGAACCATCAATTTGGTCCCAAAGTGCTGATTCATTTTCGCATGTTATGGGATCCCATGTGTCGTTGATTTTGGTGACATTCGTATGATCGCGTCATACATTTGCTCGATATACTCTTTTCACGAGTGTATATTTTCGTTTGTTGAATGAGTGTGACCTGTGCACATTGATCCAACGATCAACTGCACTTTTATCTGAAACTTCAATCACTTGTGGGATGTGCCATGCTGCAAAAGCGATGTTCCAGTGGAGTCCAATTTTACTTTTAATCCATGGGCTACCACATTCGAGATAAGGTAATTTGCCTTAAAACTGGGAATCTTTTTGGACGAACATTGTCTGAACCGGTTAGATTGGCGTATCGATGTGTGAACCATTAGATTTGCAGGAAGCTCTCTAGAATTCAGAGTAAATTGTAACAATGATCTCTCAACTTTAATCAAATTCAAGTAATGGTCATTCAACTAAAAATACATTACCATTGGTCCCTCAACTCATTGAACTGTGTAGCTATGATCCCTTTCGTCAACTTCGTTAGATTTTCGTCAAAATAAGTTATGTTGGAAGAATCATTGCTACAATTGGGGTCCCTCGACTCATCAAAACGTGTAGCTATGGTCATTTTCGTCAACTTCGTTAGAATTTTGTCAAAATGAGTTATGTTGGAATGATCATTGTTACAATTGGGTTAAAGTTTAAGTGACCATTGCTCTAATTTGGTAAAGTTGAGAAATCATTTCTCCAGTTGATTTAAAGCTTGAGAGACCAATGGTAAATGATTTTTAGTTGAGGGATCATAACTGCACGTTTTGATGAGTTGAAGGAACAACAATGATGCATTTTTAGTTGAAGAATCATTACTTCAATTGAGGTAAAATTAAAGGACCTTTGCTATTTTGGAAAGAAAAAAAAGGACCATTGCTACAATTTACTCAAACAATTAATTTTGATCATGTAATACTGATTTTTTAATAAAATTGTACGGAGTCTTTCAGTATAACGATCTGGTAGTATTCTTTTTCGCTTAAAAGTGAGAGGCATTTGGCTATCTATTATGTAACTTAGTCGAACTCTCACTTCCCATAATATAGAAATTTCGATGTACGAAAAAAAATTATACGGAGAATGTGAGAATAAGTATATTTGGCAGAGGATTATCTTTGAAACACAGAATATGTCGGGACAATTCGGAGACAGGGTTAGGGTTTTCTAATGTCATATCTATCTGAGGTTAGAATCCATATCTGAGAAGACAAAAAGAAAGAAACCTGAATTTTTTTTTATTATTATTTTTTTTTTATAACAAATGATTTGAGAGGATAGTTAATTCAACAAGACAAGTTCTGGCATGTGAGATTTGAACTCAACCTCTATAAAGGACAATATTTGACTCGGGCCATTTAAACTACAAATGTTATATTCGTCTTTTAATGATGGTTTGAAATCATTTAAACGTACAAATGTTATATTCAGAATTGTTCAATTTTTTTATCATTATTTAAAGGCATGTATAGAAAAATGCATTTATTTTGTAGACTGTTTTAACAATTCATGTGTATTGAACAAAATGATAGTTATGATAATAATAATAACATTCTCATAATGAACTGTTAATTTGTTTGATTCTTATAGATGATTAAATGTTTTTCAAATCGAATGAATTTTTCTAAAGACGATCTTTAGATGATCATAAAGTAAATGAAATGTTCTAGTTATAATATTTACATGGTAAAATAATATCACATCGTTATTGAAAAAGAATGACATCTTATATGTAAATAGCCAATAAGTGTCTTAATCAAGGCTGAAACTAAATGCAACCATTTACTCGAAATGTTACTTATCTTCGTCTCCTTTCATCAACTAAGCAACTAACACATCAGTCACCGCCACCTGGCCATTGAAAATTATGAATAGGTTTGTTTTCTCTGTGATTGGCTTGGGCAGTTAGGCTGTAAACAGAATACTGCTTTTCCACCTCAGACAATGATTGTCTGCTCTTCACTTTCAATGCTTCCTGTTTTGTATAATCACGGTTAAATTATGTTAATATTTTATATTATTTTTTTTATAGATATAATAAGATAAAAATAAATAGTAATATAAAATATTGACATGGTTTAATCGTAACCATACAAACAGAAAGACACAAGAAGAACACCAAAAGTGAAGGGCAGACCTCATCCTCATGCTTCTTTTTTTCCTATTGCTTTCTGTTCTTTTAAATTCTTTGGCCGCTGACAGGTAAGGATAGCTCTCTGTCTCTTGGGGCGGCCCCAAGGGGGTGGGGGTCGACACTTTCTGCATAATTTTGTAATGGAAGTGGAAAGGAATTAAAAACATAACAAATTTCTACTGTGGAGTTTTAGTGCGTAATAGTTGTTACTCATACCATATATCAATATTTGACGTAAATCACATATTTTTAATCGTTTTAACTTTTTAATATTCCGTTAAATGAAAGTACTTTTGCATATCATCATGGGGCCTTTCAATGATTTCAATTGGTTTTGTTAGATAATTGTTTAATTGGAAGCTGTATTGGTTTCACTTTTTTCATTTTATTATCTTTGTTTTATCTTGCTTAGAAGGCATTTAAGACTTTAGGAGACACACGTCACTTTGTGGGCTTGTTTCGATTATCTGGAATCTATCCACTGAATTGTGATAATCTTTATGGTGACAAAAACAAGTAACTATCCCACTGCCTGTGGAAGAAAGTCATGCCTCCATCTTATGAATATAGACTAAACTTAGCACCACCAGCACCACCAGCACAAGGTGGCGAAAGGACGATTGCTTTGGATTATAATATGCACTAGGTCATTGATTATATTATTTCAATACCCGTAACTCTGGCAAACCCTCTCTCGCTGTTGTCGCTATCAAGTTTACGGTCTAACTTAGAAGAAAAGCTTAATTGTAACTGAGATCATATCCGTTATTTAATACTACGGTATAATAGTATTCATGTTCACTTATAAATGAGAGGTCTTAGGTTCGATTCTCACTAAAGACAAATTTGAATCACATTATTGCTAGTCCATTATCTCCCCTTAATGTAGATAATATCGTTTATTTAAAAAAAAAAAAAAAACTGAGATTATATCCTTGTGTTCTTAAAACACTCATCATTTGACTGATCATCTGAGTTGCTTTGAATCATAATTCTCATTATATCCTTATCAAAGCCTTTAAAGGAAGGAATTTCCCTTCTTTAAAAAAAAAAAAAAAAAAAGGGGAATTGGGGTTGGTTTGGAATTGTAATCTCACACCCAAACTCGAGAGTGACCCAATTTGTTTGCTCTGTTTTTGGATTTTTCTTTTTTTAAAAGCAGTTTATTAAAAAATTTAGAACATCAAATATGTTTGGTAAAAGTAAAAAAAAAATGTTTTATTAAAAAACTATTGTCAATGACAGTAAAAAAAAACATAGAAAAATAGAAGCAGAGTCTACCATACTTCTAAAAAAGTGTTTTTTTTTCAAAGCATAGTAATCAATGCTCAATGAAATTTTCAAAAGTCAAGTATACCCCACATATTTTACAAAATTACAATCATTCCCCTATATTATTGTCTTTAACGAAAAAAAATTATCAAACACTCAATAACTTTATTTTACAGATATTTATTTTTATAGCACTGTAGAAACAATTTTTTTAGAAAGCACAACAATACCAAACTAGCCCTTAGTTGTGGACCCACACAACATCGAACTTTAACTATCCTATTTTTCAAGTTGCATCCCATAGATCATCTTTGAAATGTTAGCTAAATAAAAAATATATGGGGCATTTAATTGAGTTCAAATAAATTGACCAACACTATGGTCTAAGAAACATTAAAATTTCATCGTGATAATTAAATAAGTAAATGGTTTGGATCAAAATGTATTTTTGCAAGAATTATCCATGAATCAAGACTTATAACATAAACAATTCGGATTATTGAAATTTGAAACGAAATGTAAATCCCATAACTAGTCTCCATTAAAAAAAAAAAAAACCGAGTTTCCCTCCCCATAAAAGGCATGATATCCTTATATTATTATAGTACCCTACCCATAACTTAAGAAAAATCTCTCTTTCTCTATCAAGTCTAACCAATCTAATTTAACGCTTTCAGGGTGTGTTTGATTGCCCTTCTTAGCTCTCACTGGACTGGACAGGATTACCTTTTAATCTATTTTTGTGTTTGTTTACGGAAGGACCTAACTGTAATGGGACTTGCCCTGAGTCCCCGACTAAATTGAACTAAACAGTTCCCTAAAGGGGCTTAGCGAGACCCCTCGAAATCGGGCGGACTGCTAAGACCTTAGCTTCCCCCTCCTGCTTCACACATCCATCTACTTCATCCTTGCTTCCCAGAACCATCTTCAAGACCAAATCTGGTAAAACCGAAACAAAATAGAAGAAAAATCTACAAACGTTCTATTTTCAAAACCACATCCAACACCCAAAATCTCAGAAAACCTAAAAAAAAAAAATCTGAAAGTGAGATAAGCTTGAAATTTTCAATCACACAACATTGAGAAAACCAGAAACCCAAAAAATCTGCAGTGAGGTGAGCTTGAAATTTCAATCACAACACCCAGAAAACCAAAAACTCAGAAAACACAAACCAGATCCAACCCCCATCTTCTACCTTCAGGCCAATCACACATGCAACCCGCTCCCAATTGGACAAAATAGAGCCAAAGGGTCGACTAGCTAGCTACCACATGCTGACGTCATATTTGATTTTTTTTTTTTTACAAAATTAATTTTTTTTTCCCTATAACTTTATTAAACAACATTAAATAACATTAAGTAACATGAAACAACATTAAACAATATTAAACAACATTAAATAACATTAAGTAACATTAAACAACATAAAAAAAAATTTAACAACATGAAACTTAAACAACATTTTTAAAAACATTTAACAACATGAAAATTATTGACAATTCATAACGTAAAATTATTGAGGTAATTTAATTTAAGTAATCATAGTAGTTCAATTAAAATAATAAATTATGTTTGTCCCTCGGTTGGAGATGGTTTTTTTCACAGGGCTATGTTTGGCCTATGACCCTCTAGTCCCTCGGTTGGAGATGGTAAGAAATATGACCTTGTATTGTTCATTAAA